GAACTTTTGCCCTTTAACTCGCTCTTTCTATGGACTAACAGGTGTTACCTGGGCCACCTAACTCAAGTTCAGATAAAATCTGCAAATAAATAAAGGACATGTAGTGATCTTCTAGAGTGAATCGGGATATCTCTGCAACCAGATTCAAGCGTCTTAAAAAAACTCCACTGGAATCGCTCTTAGGACAATTTCTAAATGTCGTTGTAGAGGAGCTTATGAAGAGCCGGAGGCTACGTAAGCGATATGGAGGACGCAAATACATTTAATTTTCTTTTCTAATGTGAAAAGACATTGTATGTCAGCACCAGAAGCGTCAGCAGGATTACTCGCAGATGAAGTAGTTTCAGTAGTAAAGTCGGTGTCGTAGATTGCGCCTCGGTAGAATGGCTAATCAAAGCAACCAGGAATGTAACACCTTTCCAAATGCTAGTTTGTATTCATTGTAGTAATGATATTTATCAGTTATTATCAGTGCATGGCCCACTGATACTTTCTAGATTTGATAAACACTGTGTGATGGGAATGCCCAACTGTGTGAAGCAGGCTCAGTGCCTAGGGAGGTAAAACTACGAAGAAACAGAAGTTTGGCATGAATATATATTTTAAAATTGTTATTGTGAGGTGGCAAGAGATCAAAAAACGATGAAAATGAGGAGTTCGATTATTTTTCGCATCTTACAGCACTAGATATCTCTTGTTTTTACAATTCTTAAATTTGTTGGTTACAAAAATTCGTTTTCTGCTTTTTTTCTCCTTCTGTTCAGCTTCAGAGAAGAAAATTTAAACAGGAAATTTTGAAGCCTTTACTTGGCAAGCAGTCGTCGTGGTCATTTTCACAGTTTCTACCAGTGTATCCATCCGGACAACGGCACTGATATGAGCCAAAAGTGTTGGTACAGATGCCACCATTTAGACATGAATTACCATCAGTCGAGCATTCATCTATGTCCTGAAAGTATTTTCCTGATTAGCAAGCTGAAATCGAGCATTCATCTGGTGGTAAAACGGAGGTAAACTTACAGTATCGCAGTAAAATCCGTTGAAGCCTTGTGCACATATGCATGTATAATTCTTGTAATTTGCTGTCGGCTTACAGGTTGCTCCATTTTCACAGCGACTTGTGCGGCATGGATTTAGCCTGAAAAACCAAAAGTTAGCCCCCACAAGCAGAAGATGATATCTTTTGGATTTAGGAAATCACTGACTCGAGCATTAAAAAAAAATTCGAAGAAGTGCTGACCCTAAAAATTAAATTTTTTTTAAATTTTTTAGAAATTTTTCTTAACAAAGTAAGGCTTCTGAAAACTGAAGAAACTTCGCCAACAGTCTTATGATATGTACGTAATGTACGTTCATTCCTAAGAAAACAATTGTAAGCTGAGTGAATGAAGTACTTTAACTTACTCGTACTGACACCTGTCCCCGTCGTATGGCAGAGCACAGTGGCAGATATAGGAGTTGATGCCATCGATGCAAGTACCACCGTTCATACACGGATTTGGTGCGCAATCATCGATATTCGTCTGACACTGCTCGCCAGTATAGCCTGTGCTACACGAACACACGTATCCGTTCACGTGATCCGTACAGACACCTCCATGCTGACACGGGTTCGACGCACATTCATTCATCTGAAATTTGTAAAATATATAATCTAATTTGGAGGTTCGTATGCTATCTATAGTGGAAACATTTGTCGTTAAAATCTTGTTTTAAAAAAATCATCCTTCTTTTTAT